GTGGAGTTGGGAGGTTTGTCTATGCAGCAGATGTGCTGTGTGTGGATTCTGGTTGTCAGAAAGGCTTCCTGACTGCCTATAGCACGTGGAGTTCTGAGGATGGCAGGGAGAAAGAGGAGTCCCTACTATACAATTGGACTCTTGGCCTGGCTAATTCCATCTCCCATGGCTTGGATCCTTGGGTAGCTCACATCCTTCACACACCCTTCTTCACATCCTATGGAGTGTCTGCATTAACTCATTCCTCCCTCCAGTGGTGCAGCACCTTGCATCATTTTTGTGTGATTTAGGAGCAGAGGGAGGAATTTGGCTGTTAGTCTGCTTGGTAATGATAATATCTTTCTGTAACAGGCAAGAAGTCAGCAGAAGACTTTCATGGTGGGCAAGACTTGAACTGGAGAATGTATGTAGGGTCTATGTAGATTTACAATGTTTCTCTCCTGGGATAGGTGACAGTGCTTTCTGAGAGCTGACAACACCATCCCCACTGCACCATCAATAGACCTGCATCTTGACCTGAACTCAGTTGGGAAAAGAAGCACTTGTTCTGCCAAGGGAGGAGGAATAGATCTGGGTTCTTAAGGTGCTCTGAGTGGCCTCCCTGTGTAGAATCCTTAATTCTTATTGGTAAGAATTTTGGGTGACAGTGCTGTGGGTGTTTACTACAGGCCACTTGCCTGGGAAGAGGAAGTCAATGAGGCTTTCCCCAGACAGCTGGAAGTAGCCTCACAATCACGTGCCCTGGTGTTCATGGGGGACTTCAGTCACCCTGGTATCTGCTGAAAAGGCAACAGAGCTGGGCACACACAGTCCTGGAGTTCCTGCAGTGCATCAATGATAACTTGCACAGAGGCGGTGAAGAAGCTAATGAGGAACCATAGTGAACAAAGAAGCTCTGGTTTAGGATGTGAAAGTTGGGGGCAGCATTGGCTGCAGTAACCATGTGATGGTGGAGTTCAGGATCATGCACGGAAAAGCAGGGCAATAAGTAGGGTTGCAACCCTGGACTTCAGGGGAGCTAACTTTGGCTTCTTCAAAGACCTGTTTGGAAGAGCCTCTAGAAGGTAGGGATGCCCAGGGAGCTGGCTAATACTGAGCACCACTTCCTCCAGGCTCCAGACTGGTGCATCCCTATGAGTGAGAAACAAGAAGTAGGGGTGGCAAGAGGTTTGCATTAATGAACAAGGAGCTTCTGGAAAAACTCAAATGGAAGAAGGAAGCTTACAGTACATGAAAAAAGGGACTGGCCACTTGGGAGGAATATGCAGGGGTGCAATGAGGAAGGCTAAGGCCCTCCTGGAATTAAAGCTGGCAAATAATGTAAAAGACAACAAGGAGGGCTTCTTCAAGTATATCAGTAGCAGAAGGGAAAATGTGAGCCTACTGCTGAATGAGGTGGATGCTGTGTTGAGGGAGGATACAGAGAAAGTGGAGTTAGTACATGCTTTCTTTGCTTCAGTCTTTACTGTTAACCAGCCCGTGGGAATCCCAGCCCCTTGAGGTAAGAGAGGAAGTCTGGTGGAAGGAAGACTCTCCACTGGTCGATGAGGATTGGGTTAGAGATCATTTCAGCAAACTGGACATTTGCAGATCCATGTGCCCTGATGAGATCCACCCATAAGTGCTGAGGAAGCTGGCTGATGTTGGTGCTAAGTCGCTCTCCATCACTTTTGAAAGATCACGGAGAACAGGAGAGGTGCCTGAGGACTGGAGGAAAGCCAATGTCACTCCAGTTCTTCAAAAAGGGCAAGAAGGAGGACCCAGAAAATTACAGGCCAGTCAGCCTCAAAACAACCCCTGGAAAGGTGATGGAATAGCCCATTCTGGAGGTCATCTCTAGGCATGTGGAAGAAAAGAAGGTTATCAGGTGTAGTTAGCATGCATTTATTTGCCAAGGAAAGGAGGTTATCAGGTGTAGTTAGCATGCATTTGCCAAGGAGAAATCATGCTTAACCAACCTAATAGCCTTCTGTGATAGTGTGACTGGCTGGGTAGGTGAGGGGAGAGCAGTGGATGGTGCCTATCTCAACTTCAGCAGGGCTTTTGACACTGTCTCCCATAACATCCTCATAGATAAGCTCAGGAAGTGTGAGTTAGATGAGTGGACAGTGAAGTGGATTGAGAACTGAATGAATAACAGAGTTCAGAGGGTTGTGATCAGCGGTGTAGAGTCTGGTGGAAGGCCTGTAGCTACTGGTGTTCCTCAGGGGTTAGTACTGGGTCCAGTCTCATCCAACATGTTCATCAATGACTTAGATGAAGGCACAGTGTACTCTCAGCATGTCTGCTGATGATATAAAACTGGGAGGAGTGGCTGACACACCAGAAGGCTGTGCTGCCATAAAGTGAGACCTGGACAGGCTGAACAGTTGGGCAGAAGCAAACCTCCTGAAGTTCAAAAATGGCAAGTGTAGGGTTCTGCACCTGGGGAGGAATAAACTCATGCACTAGTACAGGTTAGGGGTTGACCTGCTGGAAAGCAGCTCGGTGGAGAAGGACCTGGGAGTCCTGGTGAACAACAAGCTCACCATGAGCCAGCAGTGTGCCCCTGTGGCCAGAAGGCCCATGTTATCCTGGGGTGAATTCAGAAGAGTGACCAGCAGACTGAGGCAGGTTCTCCCCGTCTACTCGGCCCTAGAGAGGCCACGTCTAGAGCACTGTGTCCAGTTCTGGGCTCCCCAGTTCAAGAGAGACACAGAGTGCAACAGAGAGCTACAAAGATCATGAGGGGACAGGAGCATCTTTTTTATGAGGAAAGGCTGGCAGACTTGGGAATGTTTAGTCTGGAAGGCTGAGGGAATCTTATCAGTGCTTACAACTGTCTAAAGGGTGGATGTCAAGAGGATGGGGCCAGTCTCTTTTCAGTGGTGCTCAGTGATAGGACAAGGGACAATGGGCACAAACTAGAACAGAGAAAGTTCCACCTACCAAAGAAAGAGTTCTTTGAGGGTGACAGCACTGGAGCAGGCTGCCCAGAGAGGTTATGGAGTCTCCTTCTCTGGAGACTTTCAAAACCCACCTGGACACATTCCTGTGCAACCTGATCTAGGCAAACCTGCCTTAGGAAAGGGGTTGGGTTAGATGATCTTTACAAGTCCCTTCCAGCCTCTTTGTGATTCTGTGGAAAGGACTGCATTTGCTGCTGTGTGCTGAGCTTCTGAGAGCCAGAGGCTGCATCACTAGAATGCAGAAGGTAACTCACCACGTGGTATCTCCTGAGCTAGTCACAATATTGTTGTCATCAAGAAATCTGCAGCAGGAGAGGTAACCTGGGAAGTGGCAACAAGCAAATATGAGACCCGGGGCAGGGCTAGCAGAGTGAGGGTTGGAAGCAGAGGGCACTCGGGTTGTGGGCAAGCAGCACACACACCTGTATGGGCTGAAAGCTCCCTGCTCACTTTGACGTTGCCTTCTCGAGTCTTGAGGTTGTAGATGGAGCACATGTTGTCAAGGCCCCCACAGGCCACAAAATTGCCTGACGGAGCATAGGCACAGGTCATGACCCAGGAAGAACGCAAAGGGATGGCATGGACCTGAGAGGACAAGAAACCACGTTTGAGCTCTGGTAGCAGAAAGAGCACAGCAAGGGCACTAGATCTGGGGGAATCCACTCCAGCATCCTGGTTTGCTGTGGCCGTCTGGCTCCTACCTTGTTAGTTGTGTATGTGTCCCACACAATCAGTTTTCCATCTTGTGAGGCACTGACCATAAGTCTGTGAGAGAGGAACAAGATCATGTTAGTAGCTCTCTTCCCATCAGAGCCTTCCTGCCCCTCACACCCACGTGCTGCCTTGCACTCAGCAGACCAGCAGAGTCTCTCACTTGGAGTCTGTGGACCAGTGCATGGCGTAGATCTTGGCCAGGTGCCCACGCAGGGTCCTTCGGGTCCGCATCTGGATGCGCCCAACAACCTCCATTCCAGACACAATCTGAGGAAAGAGTTGTGGGAGAGAAAGAATTAACCTTGGGCTGGCAGGACTTTTACTGCCACATCTGTCTCCTAGCTCTGCTTGCCAACTGGAAAGACTCCCCCTTGAAGTGGTGCTGATCCCCCCGCCCAGCTAGCCCTGTCCCTTACCTGAGCAAGCGTTGTGTCTGCACAGGCCTTCCGGGCATCCTGGAGAAGACACAAGAGCAGGTCAGGTGGAAAAAAAGCCATGTGATGGAGACAACTGGCAAGTGAAATTCAGGGGCATAGCCTGGGGGCTGCTAGAAGCAGGACATGTGGCTTTGCCGTGTCTGGATTGTGGCCAGCACAGGGGGACCCTGGTCTGTGATTAGGGCACCTTAGCACCAGTCACACATCAGGAAGGTAAGCCAGAACTGCCCGGCACCCCGTTCCCCATGCGACACCCTTTCCGTGGATCCTCCTGCCCGGCAGAACACCGGCTGCCTCCCAAAGAGAGGAGCTCCTGGGGACACACTACACGCTCTGCCCCTCCGCAGACACGAGGCCAGTGGCTGCTTCCTTCTCTCGGCTGTCGTGTCCCCTGTTCCCCCCACCACGCTATGAAGATCTCCATTAGCACTGGAAGGGCTGTGCCGAGCTGCAGAGGGCACGAAGGCTGAGGCTGGCAACAGCTCAGCTCCCGGGCTGTGGCTGAGGGGCAGCTGGGCGCAGCAGGTCCGTGGCGGCTGCCAGCGTTACCGCAATCTGCTTCTTCAGCTGCTCGGCCTCCTGCTTCATCTGCTCCATTTCCCCCATCTTGCTGACCTAGGGGTGGCTCCTTCACGGGGGGCAGCCTTGATTCTGGGGAGACAAATTAAGGGAGAGAGTTGTGAGGCGGGAAGGGGACTAATATGACCGCTCAGTCATGCAGAAGTAGGCACTTCCGGTAAAGGCTTAGGAGCCATCCCCTGGCCGAACGCTTGGTGAATGTGCTGGGCCTGCCAATGCCCTTGGCACCTGGGAAGTTCACACCGGGCCTAGTCAAAGATCCATTTGGTTTTGTATCCTGCTTACGTGTACACTAGGAAGCCAAAGACCTCCAGAGCGTCTTGAGCTTCTGGACACTCTTGTCCCCTCACCTTTTTGTTTTTAACTTCTCCATCCCAAGCCCTACCAAGTCCTGAGTGCTCTTCACCAGATTTTCCCTGTCCATGGCCAAGCTGTCTATTTCAGCTCCAGGAGGAGGAAAACTTGATGAGAGGAGCCCAGTGGCTCTCTCCTATTGCTTGTCCTAGGCAAGACATCACCAGGCAGTACCCACCAGCAATTTGACCATCAAGGAAATATGGGGGCTGTTGAGGTGCTCTGTCAAGGTTCCATTCTAGTTTCCCATCCGAAAAAAAAAAAAAGTGGGTGTCTATGGAAGGATCTAAGAATAACACAAGATAGTATGTCTCCTACTTTCCTAGCCCCAGCTTTTCCTTGATGTCCAAAGTTAGAGGCAGCATTATTGCATTCAAGCCCTCAATGGACTTTTCTTCTCTGTATTTGTCCATACAATTTTTGTGCCCATGTCAAAGTTTAGCATCCTCAGGACCCCAGGGTTACTTGTTCCACTAGTTTCTAACTTTTGAGTTGGAAGAATCGCCAAGTAACTGGTCTCTATGTACTTCAGCATCACTCAGTATTTTATAGATCTTTGTCAAATCTATCTTCATCCACCTCTTTTCCAGACTGTAGAGCACACTTAGTCATTCCTCCCATGTCAGCTGTTACATCTTATTACCTCTGTTGTTCTCTAAGCCCCTTTCAGTTGTTTACAGAGTATCAATGACGTGGTTTTGCAGGGAGAGCAAGGAACCAGAACTGTAACCCCCCCTTCAGAGTACAGGGGCACCACATGATTATACAGCATCTCTAGTCTCACTTTCTTGTTACATGCACTTAAACCTTCACCAGTGATTCTAACATCTTCTGCTCTTCTAGACAAATCTGCTCTTTAATTGCCTCAATGTTTCTCCCAGGTAGATGTGAGTGTCCAGGTGTGCTCCAGGTTTTGTTCATCATTAGAATGAGCACTTTGCCCCCAGGCCAAGAAATTGTCCAGGAGCATCTGTGGAATTTCTCCTGGTCCTTGTGGGTCACATCATCTTCATCCCTCTCTGGCCTGTTCCTTGAAGGCCTCATTTCTTCCAGCCAGTGGGGCTTTGGGTCCTTCCATGCCAGGCTGCTCCCTGCAGATAGCTCCCAAGTCCCATCTTCGCTCAGTGCTTTGTAGAGCTCTTCACATTTCCACCCCGGACTTCCTTCCCCTGAATGTCTCCATGGCTTTCCTCTGGTCCTCCAGGCAAAGTGAGTATCTGCTATCACCCTGCAGCATGGCTTTGAGTGTAGGAAAGACAGGGGGATGTAGGTTTTCCCCAGCTCCTGGGAGGCCTGAGTTTGTCCCGGGAGAGGCTATTTCAGGCTATGCTGTGCAGAGAATGACTTGTACCTGCTGCCTGCGAGCCTAAACAGAGCCAGAGCATGGCTGCCTCTTCCCTGTTCCTTGCCCATGCACTGGATGTGGCTGCTGGCCCCAGCACATGGTGAGGGAGCGGGAGAGGAGCCCAGGGCTGCACTGTCAGTGCCTAGAGGTGTGTGCCACAGCAGTGGGCAGAGGCTGCCAGTCTCAGCTACACTGAAGGATGGGAACAGACTAACACCTGAGCTGGGTGCTTTCCACTGTTTTTTTCTTCTCTTGTTTTGACAGGACAGTGATGAGTTTTTTTTTCCCCAGCAAAGATGCATAGCTGCACCTGACAGAGGCACTGGTCATGAAAGCCCACCTGCATGCAGTTCTTTTGCTCTGGGAAGTGGCTAGGTAGCCCATGCCATCTCTCAGCTAAGTGCCTGGAGAGATGCTGGGGAAAACCTTGCAGCTTTCAGTAGAAGCCTGTACATCCTCCTTATCTTCTGGTGTTTGCCCCTCAGCTTTGGTGTACAGTCAAGCTGCGAAGACTGTGTCCAGCTCTGGTTGCTGCCTACCAGCGCACCAAGTGCCAGTCTTGAACTTCCAGACACCTTGCAGAGACCAGACCTACCACTGTGGTCTACACCTTGCCCTTCTGCAGTTTTCTCTAGGACTGATCCCACTCCCCTCCATCAGCCCTTAGGCACTGGATTGCCTTTTCCCACCAGGCCACCTCTTCCCTCTGACTCTCTCCTTCCAGTCTCCTCTGCTTGATCCCCAAGCTCTCCAGGCTGTTATCTCACACACCTTTGGCCATCTGAGATCATTGTCCATCCACCTGCCCCAAACTGTCTTTGCAGACTTCTGTTTTTGCCCACACAGGCCTGCAGGGAGATGGGAGCCTTGTTCTCTCTTCCTTCTCATTTCTGCCCCAGGTGAAGCTGGCTGCACAGGTCCTCCTCATTGCATCCCCAGTTTCCCTTGCCCCTCTCCTGCTTTTTTACCATTCCTTTCCCTTATCTGGCTGTTTATTTTTCAACTCTGGCACTGGTATGGAAGCATCAGTGCAGAGGCACCTGTCCTGTGAAGTTGCACAACCAGATGAGGGGCTTTTGGAGCCGGTAGGCAGGTCAAAGGGCAGGGGCATCATGTCGAGGACGGATAAAAGGGGCTAAATATAGAGAAGGTGCAGCTCAGGTTCAGGTCTCTGTCCGAACCTTTAAATCCCTTTGAGGGAACACTCTAAATGAAGGTGGGAATTGTTCTCGGCCTCAGAAGGACAAGGAGCCACGGATGAGCAGTAATAATAGCTCCAGCTTCTTCCGTCTCCTCCACCCATCACATCCCAGTGCAATTTGTGGAGAGTGAGTTAACTGATCCCCACTGGAGCGCAGCTGCCTCCCAGGAGGCCCATGGCAGGTGTACAAAAGAGCAGCTTATCATGGTCATGTAAATTTAGGACAGGAAATGGGGGAAGAACAGAGGAAAGGGGAATGAAGTTTGTAGTCTGACCAAGGTACGTTCCTGCTGTGACCAGTGGGACCTGAGGCAGGCATATTTCTTATGGATCCATGGATCAGCTCATGGTTTCTTGCAGCAGCTGCCCAGCCTGGTTTTCATGGGAAAAGCTTCTAAATGGTGCATGCTCAGTGCTTGCTGAAGTAAGGGCTCTTTCAGGCAAATGCTAAGCAGCAGAGGAAACCAGGGTCCTTAGGCACCTTTGAAAAAGAAATTCACTAGTCCAACAGAGAAGAGCTACTGACAGGAGGACCTTGTCACCAGCACTGGTCCAGAGTTGTGCCTCCTACAACCATCACTGAGGAGCATGGCACAGCCAAACAGATCCTGGGCCTTTTCATAGAATCCTTCTGCCAAGGCTGGAAAAGACCTCCAAGATCATAAAGTCCAACCATCAACCCAACACTACCATGACCACTAAACCAAAGTGCCACATCTACACATTTTTTGAACACCTCCAAAGATGGCAAGGCCACCACTTCCCTGAGCAGCCTGTTCCACTGCCTCGTCAGTGCTGCCACACCACGACTTTTCAGGGCAGTGGCTACATCCCTTGCACCATGCCATGGCGGGGGCTTAGCCTGCACCCCAAGGGCTGTCCTACTCAGGCACCTCTATCACTCCTTGGTGGAGATCAGGGCACAAGCCATGGCTATGAAGAAAGGGAGAGGTGAACTCCCTTACTTTCTGTACTCTGAGTAGCTTCTCCTACATGGGGAAGGGAGCAGGTCCCTCTGTGGGATGTTGGGAGAGGGTTGTAAATAGAAAAGGGAAAGGTGCAGGAAGGAGGACTAAGTATTAAGAGGCAGCACCCCTGGGTCTCTGTGTAATCCCTGGCTGGCCTTGCATGCTCGCCCTGGTGACCCTGGGCTCCTTGCAGAGCCGGATACAGAGATGATCCCACTCTCCTGTGATGGAGATCAAAGGCCAGGGTAAAATTACCCTGCTCTGCTCCTTGCTTTCCGAGGGGTCCTTCTCCATGCAGAAAAGCAGCCAGCTACACAGAGGCACCCACAGGGAATGTGGGACTGTGTACGGGTAGTGAGTGCCCATCCCTCAGGGGAGGTGTTGTTCTCCTGTTCCAGTCTGGAAACTGGTGAGGTTTACCTGCCAAGGAGGGAACAAGCAACCCCTTCCCAGTGCAAAGCTCCCCATCATTGTAAAGACATCTCGGTGCTAACCGCAGTTCCTTCCCCACCACGATCTTCCCTCCTACATCCTCTGATGGGAGCAGCCCTTCTGCAAAGGCTCCCCTCAGAATCACACC